GGTTTAGGGTTTAGGTTTTTTTAGATCTCGTCCGGCCAGTTGAGAGGAAGGTGCGGGTTTGCAGGCGGCATGTTTAGATGTGTTGTATCGCTGCCAGCTAAAACGCTCATGGGTCTTGCTTGCAGCTGCAGGGTCTAGCTAGTGTTTAGGACAGTGTTCTACGCCCTAAATCTCATAGACCCCGAACCCTAAACCCTAAACTCTAAACACTAAACCCTAAACCCTAGACTGCTTAAGAAGCGCAGGTGGTCTCCAATCAGGAGCACAAGTTCGTTGCCAAGAAGCTGCTCCATGAGGCGCTCTGTGGCAGGGTCTAGCTAGTGTTTAGGACAGTGTTCTAATGTGTTCTACGCCCTGAACCTCATAGACCCTAAACCCTAAGCCCTAAGCCCTAAATTTAAGAGGCTCCGGCTCAAGCCGCCGACCCCGCTGGAGCATAGTTGAGAGGTCTAAACCCGCTCGCATGCTTCGAAGATCATCCCAGCCTGCTCGGCGGAGTTCTGTGAAACGTTTGGGGGGGGGGGGGGGGGGGGGGGGGGGGTTAGCACCAGGACGGCAAGCTAGCCAAAACAGGTTGGGGGTCAGGGGCTGTGGGTGGTGTGAGGGGGTGGGGGGGGGGGGGGGGGTGGGGGGGGGTTTGGGGGGGGGAGGGGGGTGGGGGTGGGGGGGGGGTGGGGTTGGTGGGGGGTCCCCCCCCCCCCCCCCCAACCCCGCGTTTTGGGGGGTGAGGAGGGAGGTTTTCACCTCCTCAAACCCATCCAACACGCCGCCAGGGTCGGCGGACCCTAAACCCTAAACCCTAAACCCTAAACCCTAAACCCTAAACCCTAACTCCTCGTCCTGCATGGCGGACAGGTTGAGGAGATGCTGGGCAGCCTTGAGGCAGAGGCCACAGCTGCTCCTCAGGGACAGTTTCCTGCGTTCCACTTCGCCCTTCATGTCCGTGTTACTACTGTACCAATTGCTTAGGAACCCCCCCCTGCCCCAACAAATTAGAATCGTCTTCCTTACAAGGCTTACGGGTAATATCGCGATTTTTGTTTGGGGGGAGGGGGTTCTTCAGCAAATAGTAGGTTGCAGGCCCACACTGAGGCCCCAAAGCCTTGAAGCCCTAAACCCTATACCCGAAACCCTAAACCCTAAGCTAAAACCCTAAACCCTAAACAGCCTTGAAGCCCTGATCCCGCGGAGGTGAAGGCGGCCGAGGAGGTGTGCGCACCGTTGCTGGACGGTGGCGGGGTGCAGTTCCTGGCCCCTCGGCCTCAAGGTAATATAGGGTTTAGAGGTTTAGGGTTTAGGGCGGGGTGCAGTTCCTTGCCCCTTCGGCCTCAAAGGAATACAGGCCTCAATAATTAGAACAGGGTTTTGGGGGGTTATAGTCTGTTCATAAAGGGACCATAAGGGAATACGATCAGCAATTATTCCGACCCCCATATATCAGGGAGTTCCGGATCCATTGTCGGTAGGGCCCTAGACCCAAAACCCTCAACCCTGTAAGGCGGTGCCCTTACAAGTTGCAGCTCCAATGGCCCTTCATTCCAAGCTCTACATCCTGCGCCCCCCAGTTTTAACCCCAAGTGTCGACCCCCCTCATATGGGGTTTCCGAAAATAGGGGTACCCTTTTGGGGGGTCCTTTTCAAGGAGATTCTATTCTATTTGGGGTCTAAAAGGGGTACCCCTATTTGGGAAACAGCCATATAGCTATAGCCCAAAACCCAGTTCAAACCCTCGCGAGCTTCGAGAGGTTGCTGGCAGCCTCAAGACCCTTGCGGGCGCCCTCCGTAGCTACATGAAGGACAAAGGCCCGGGACGTCGTGAGGGTGGTCTTGGATTTTTTTTTTTTTGGGGGGAGGGGTTTAGGGTTGAGGGTTTAGGGTTTAGGGTTTAGGGTTTAGGGTTTAGTGTTTAGGGCTTCGAAAGTTTGGGTTATCTGGCAGCTGGGGGGTTGTTGACTCGCACAGCTCTGTGTAAACAGTGCATAAACACATCGATCAGGTTTTTTTCGCACCTGTGTGTAGCAGCTTAGCACATGGCATCCGCAATGGTGTCTAGGTTCAATGAGCGGTGACGTGAACTTCACGGCCTGATGTGCTAAGGGATTGGTGCAAAAAGCCAGAAACCCTAAACCCTCAACCCTAAGCCCTAAGCCCTAAACCCTAAACCCTAAACCCTAAACCCTAAACCCTAAACCCTCGACCCTGGCCTCAAGGTTGACACACCCGCACGCCTGAGGCCTCGATACTTCCGCCCTGTTCACGGAGGCCAGTGGTGGCAACCGGCCAATCAGCAAAGAGGCCCAGCAAGTGGTGTCAATTCTTAGACTTGGGGCTTGCAGGGTCTACAAAGAGCAGGAACGACGCAGCAAGGTGATTTGCTACAAGCCGCAAGAGAGCCTATTACATGTCATGAAATGGCTGTCGCTGTTTGAGCTCGACCGCAGGCCTACCTGCTACAACCTGCATCCCCGAATCAAGCGTTCAGTTCTCACGAGTAGCCCACACTGCTCCGATGATGCGTTGTGAGGCCTTTACTTCTGCCCCCCCCCCCCCCCCCCCCCCCCCCCCCCCCCCCCCCCCCCCCCCCCCCCCCCACCCCCCCACCCCCCTATACGCAGATTCGAAGCAGTCGACCTTAAGAGTTGTGCGCCGCAGCGCCTGTGGAAGGACTTCCTGTCCTACCTGCAGAAGCTGCCACAGGCACGGTTCCAGGAGCCCCACCCCTGAGCTTCTCTAAGTGTTTAGGGTTTAGGGTTTAGGGTTTAGGGATTTAAGGCTGTAGGGGTTTCGTGGTTGGGCAGGGTGCCTCACGACTCCAAGTGGGGCTTGAAAATCCAGCCCCTCCATGCCCCCAGCCCCGTCACCCTAAGCCATGAAAGGGGAACATAATTTAGAGAGCTGACCAGCAACCCTAAACCCTAAACCCTAAACCTTAAACCCTAAACCCTAAACCCTACACCCTCAACCCTCTAAACCCTAAACCCTTCTCCTCAACCACCAAAGGATCCCGAGAGCCTATAAACCCTCAGCCCTTCCGATTGTTCGGGCTTGACCAAAAGCTGGTGACCACATTTCCATCTCCATAAGTGTCGCTACAGTCGTTCGGCTAAAGGCAAGAGGAATCTTTTTTCGTGTCTTCATCTCTATCTGTTCAGGTTGCGGGCTTCAGGGTGTTTCTAGTACTGGCAGGGAGGTCCGGATTCGTGCTTTCGAGAAGTTTTGGGATAGGCTGCCGAAGGCCGAAGGCAGACCTCAGCCATGGAAGACAGCTCTTGCACTAGCCTGTTGTTAAAGCTATGCCCAGCTCAGACCCCCTTTTATGCTCCTCTAGAATCAAAAGAATCAACTAGGTTCCTGCCAACGCTAATTGCAATGCCATGGTAGTGACCGTTGATAGGATCATTGCCCTGAATCCAGGAACGGCCAGGGATGATGGGCCACGTCGCCGTCTGATGTTGATTGCATTTCCGGGTGCCCGAAGCCTCAAACCGAAAAGTCAGAGTCCTCTTGCACGCCGTTCTTTCGAACTCTAGTGACCCTAAAGCGGGAACCCTAAACCCTAAACCCCAAACCCCAAACCCTAAACCCCAAACCCTAAACCCTAAACCCTAAACCCTAAACCCTAAACCCTAAACCCTAAACCCTAAACCCTAAACCCTAAACCCTAAACCCCAAACAAACCCTAAACCCTAAACCCCAAAATCCCCAAATAATGAGCTAGGAAGATGTGGGGCTTGCCACGTGACAGGCCATCGACCGACCCGAAGTGGAGTTCACGGAGGACGAGGGCTCCTGTTGGTTCATGCTAAACCCTAAACCCTAAACCTAAAACCCTAAACCCTAAACCCTAAACCCTAAAACCCTAAACCCTAAACCTTAAGCCCTAAACCCTAAACCCTAAACCCCAAACCCCAAACCCCAAACCCCAAACACCCCAAACCCTAAACCTTAAACCCCCCAAAGCTCTGAAACGTGAGCAGCCCCGAGTCCTCTCAAGCCTCCTTGATCCCAGGGTTCTAGTCCGGGCTCCCATCAATAAACTGGGTTTGGAGTACAACACTTTGGTACTTTTTGTTGGTTCTGGGTTCCGATTATAGCTACTTATACCTAGAAAGCACATGCTTTTTTTTCGGGTCGACTCCAAAGTATGGTAAATTGCTCAGCTTGTAGGCCTTGAAGCCTCACCCCTATCTACGACTGCTCGGGGGCCGGGTGTGGGGCTTCAGGGCATACGTAGTAGCTGAGTGAGTAGTACACTTTACACTTTTTGGGATACTATCATCCCCTACAGAACTGGAACTCAGCAACCTAAGCTTAAGGAGCTCGGTTGGTGGCTGGCGTGAACTGCTTTGTGGGTGCCGCTTGCCGTGAACTCTCTTGACTCCGAACCTAGGGGCTGCAACTAAACCCTAAACCCTAAACCCTAAGCCCTAAACCCTAAACCCTAAACCTTAAACCCTAAACCCTAAACCCAGACTGCCTTCGCCGCCGCACCGGAAGGCTCACAGCATCTAGTTTTGCCCAGGCCCAATTTTGCCGAATGTCCGGGGAAGGGAAGGGCAAAGGCTGGGGGAAGCGGCGCGATGACACAGGCCGGGCGTGTCTTGGTAGCTTTCAGGGGTGAAGGAGCCTGCAAACTCCTAGGGCTTCATGGGCTTTATTCTGTGAGGGTCCCCTTGAAGGGCCCATAATAAGGGACCATGTAATACCCTAGCGTTTATGGGTATGTGGTTTCAGGCTCGACAATGTACCTATGGTTTCGGGGTTTAAGAGATTCGGGCCAATGGTAGAGTCGTAGAGATACTTCGGCAAAGTCGGATCGGGAGCAGAAACCTTTGAGGGTTTGGGGTTTAGGGTTTCGGTTTTAGGGCAGAAGGGGTTACCGGAGCCCTTTGTCCTGTGGTGTTTCGCTGCTGCTGCTGCTGCTGCTGCTGCTGCTGCTGCTGCTGCTGCTGCTGCTGCTGCTGCTGCTGCTGCTGCTGCTGCTGCTGCTGCTGCTGCTGCTCTGTGTGTCCTCTTGCTTGAGATCATGCGAAGTTTCCTGAAGTAGCTTTGAGAAAGTGTGTGTTTTTTTGGGCTTTTGGGCATGTGGCAAACACTTTTGGCATCAGCCGTTGCAGCCGCCTCTGTTCATAACGCCATGGCTGCAATCGCATCCGGTCCATCCACCTCTAAATAAACACCCCCCAAAGCCCAAACCCCTGGCAATCTTGGATCCCCAGACGCTTCATCCTAAAGAGGCGCCGAAGAGAAGATCCACCAGTACCGGCACTCGCTAGAGAGCGGCTACAGCCTCTCTGGCAAGCACTTACATTGATGGCTTTAGCTGTGTTTTCGGCTTTGTGGGATTGGGGGAACAAGGGGCTGAGGGTTTCAGGCCTTTTGTGATTCAGGGGTTGGGGTGCAGGGTCAGGAGTTGGGCAGGGTCCGGGTTTCTGAAGGATCCGGTTCATTTGAACCTGGGGGTTAGGTTTCACACATGCTTCGGCGCTTATGTTTTTGGGACTGGGCTTTAGGCAGCTTTTCCTACGACCACATGTGCATGTGCGCCCTTTTGCATGGGAGCGTGTCTCTATGCATGCGGGTTGTGCCATTAGCCTATCTTGAAAGCCGCAGGCTTTCCAAGACCGGATCCTTCAAACCCTAAACCCTAAACCCTAAACCCTAAACCCTAAACCCTAAACCCTAAACCCTAAACCCTAAACCCTAAACCTCTAAGAGTTGTTCAGCTACAACACCGGGATCCAGAGTAGGCCCTTATCCCCTTCTTTAGGGTTTAGGTAAACCAAAAAGGGCACCCTTTCTTATTCTGTCTAGAACAGGGAAGTCCGCGTAAGGCTTGAAAGCAATGGAGCTGCTCTTGGAGAAGTGGTCAGTGAATGCTAGGTTTAGGGTTTTGGGTTTAGGGTTTAGGGGTTTAGGTAGGGTTTAGGGTTTAGGGGTTTAGGGTTTAGGGTTTAGGGTTTGTGAGAGTCTCATGAGCAAGGCAGCGGTTGATGGTGCAAAGCCCGACAATGGCAACGTCCTCTGTGTAGCTGACTTTGCGCTTAAGTCCGAAGATCCAGAAGAACCCCAGCTCCAGAGTCCCGAGCGCCCTGGTTTAGGGTTTAGGGTTTAGGGTTTAGGGTTTAGGGTTTAGGGTTTAGGGTTTAGGGTTTAGGGTTTAGGGTTTAGGGTTTAGGGGGCACTCCAAAGCCTCGATTCCTGAAGCGCAGCCCGTCAAATGCCGTCAACCCGAGTTGAACGCCTGGAGCCTCAAGCCCCTCAGCTTTTCAACCCCCCCCCACCCTCAAAGCTTGAACCCAACCCTAAACCCTAAACCCTAAACCCTAAACCCTAAACCCTAAACCCTAAACCCTAAACCCTAAACCCTAAACCCTAAACCCTAAACCCTAAACCCTAAACCCTAGACCCTAGACCCTAGACCCTAGACCCCTAAACCCTAACCTTTTACATCAGCCCTCGACCTCAATCCCCGCTCCTCCCAAGATGCCAACGACCAGAGTGACGGGGTTCTAAAGAGCGCTGGGATCCAAGAAGTTGAGGTTTCGAGGGTTTAGGGTTTAGGGTTTAGGGTTTAGGGTTTAGGGTTTAGGGTTTAGGGTTTAGGGTTTAGGGTTTAGGGTTTAGGGTTTAGGGTTTAGGAAGCTGAGGGTTCGAGGGGGTTCAGGGTTTGGGGGTCGACGGGTTAAGGCTTCGGGACTTCGGGGTGTTACACCGCGGCATACGAACTGTTGGGAATGGCGATGCTTGATAAGTTCTTGCCCTTCGGAACACAAAGACATAGTCACGGGCAGTGCCTAGATTCCTGCAGTCCTTGCAGCCTCAAGGCCCTAAGCCCGAAGCCTTCAACCTCAGCAAGGTCTTGAATCCTAGGTTTAGGGTTTGTTAGGGTTTGGGTTTCGGATTCAAGGTCACCTGAAGCCATTTACTCTTGATCGCCTGCTCATGCATAGCTCCAAGGCCCCGAAGTCCCATCTTGACCGAAGAACCCATGTAGGGAGAATCCGAAATTCGGGGTACCTTACATTGGGTCCTTATGATACGGGAATCCTGCTATTTGAGTGGGTCTAGATTCGGGGCCCTTGCAGGAAAAAAGCTGCTTGCAGAGAGGCTTCCGGATTACCGGACCCTGCCCAGGTCGAGATGGACGCTCTCGTCTTCCTGCAGATCATGAAGCACTGCAGGTACCCGTGTTTTGGGAGGTTCAGAGAAGTTCAAAGTTGAGGGTTTAGGAAGTTTGGGCCCCTGCCCCCGCCCCTCCCCCCCCCGCCCATCCCCCCCCCCGCCCCCCCCCGACCCCCCGGCCCCCCGCCCCCGGCCTCCCGCCCCCCCGAGCCTTCAAGCCCTGTAATCTAGGGGTCAAAATATTCTCTTATGTACATATACAATAATACCCCCCCCCCCCCCCCCAAAAAAAAAAGACAAGAGGAAAACAAAACAAAACAAAACACCTGTTCTAACAGGCCCCTTTTTAAAGTTTGGGATGTTCCCCCCATGTAGCCGTCCTTAATCGGGATTGTAGTACCCTCCAACATAAATCCCTATCAAGAACTGTTAGTAGAAGGGGAACGAAAGAACTGCAACTACCCGAAACCAAACTGCCCAGTGTGGAACAGGCAGCATGCGCCGCAGCCCGTCACAGGCCCACCCCGGAAATCTTGTGTGCAGCCCTGTGGGACGGTTTAGGGTTTAGGGTTTAGGGTTTAGGCTTTGGGGTTTAGGGTTGAGGGTTACGTTATAGGTTTCGGATACTGTGGCTTCGAAGTTGAGAGCTTGGGCAGTAGCTTGCCTCCAACCCAAGATCCCCAAAGCTTGATCCTGCAGAGGAGGTTGTTTCGCGTGCCTCCTGGCCGGACTTTCCCTAAACCCTAAACCCTAAACCCTAAACCCTTAAGCCTTAACCCTTGACCCTAAACCCTAAACCCCGAAACCCCTTTGTAGCCTGTTGCTGTTGGTGAAGATGGCGGCGCTGCTTCCATGTCATATGCCATTTCTTGTGAAGCCCTCGACTCGGACTGGAGTCTTTTGGACTCAGGTTTAGGGTTTAGGGTTTGGGGTTTAGGGTTTAGGGTTTAGGGTTTAGGGTTGAAGGTCCCTGCCGCAATGATAGGTGTCGTGTGGTTCGCAGCGGCAAGGTCGCAAGGCTTGCAACCCCAAGCTCTGCCAAGCTCTCCTCAAACAAGGCCCCCAAACCCTAAACCCTAAACCCTAAACCCCAAACCCCAAACCCCAAACCCTAAACCCTAAACCCTAAACCCTAAACCCTAAACCCTAAACCCTAAACCCTAAACCCTAAGCCCTAAACCCTAAACCCTAAACCCTAAACCCTAAACCCTAAGCCCTAAGCCCTAAGCCCTAAACCCCAGACCCCAGACCCCAAACCCCAAAAAGGTTCTTCACCTTACGAGCGCACTCTTCTCATTCATGCCGGCCTCACCGCAGCCACCAGTGCCCGAGCCTATAAGGCCTAAACGGCCCTTAACACTAGGATGCCCAGTAGTACCCTTATTCCCTTTTTGGGGGGTTTAGGTTCCCTTGATAACCCCTTCTACGCAAAAAAGGGCACCCTTTTTAAGCCTAGGTTACTGGGCAGCCTAGTTAGCAAGTCCTAGAACCCTCCTCTTTCGAAGGTGCGGCTTTAGGATCGAGGCCTACAGCGTTGCGTGTTTCGGGCCGGGATCCCATTGCATTTTTTCTCAGCTAACGGCCACGCCTCGCAGTTCGACGCGGTATCTTGACATCTTAGAAGCTGGCGCGCAAACTTAGCCGAGCTTGCATTCCCGTCAGCAAGTTGCCACTCGCAAATTGTGTGGTTTCGCGCACGCTCCATGTCTTAGACCTCCAGCCCTTCTAGATCCCTCCAAACCTTGGCAGCCCAAACCTCTTTACCAAGCTCAAACATGCCTAAAGCCTATAAGGCCCTCAAACCCTCCACGCCCCAAATTCCGCGCATGTGCGGCGGCACTCTGGCTGCTGCGTCATGGCAAGCAGCGACGCCGGGGCTGGCGACTGCGCAGGGTCCGATGAGGCGGACGAGGAGAGGTTCTCGAGCTTGAGTCCTGTGGGTGGTTGTCAAAATTATGATCCCTTTTGGGGTACCCTAAACATTAGGTGCCGTATTATAATAGGATCGAAAAAGGGACCATAATTTTGACAACCACCCATATTGGGCTTTGGCAGCAGATTTATGTTACGATTGTTTGAGGTTGAGTTCCGTCTAGGGTTTGCGGCCAGGCTGAGGGTAAACCATGTAAACCTGAGCGGCGCAGAAACCCACCATGAAAGGAGAACTACGATAGAGGGTTAATCTTTGTTTGGGTCGCGTCAGCTAAGGTCCGGGGCGCGCGATTGCGCGATAGTTTCACGAGAGAGCTCTGGTCGCGAGAGCGCGCGATAGCTCGCAGTGCAACTGCTGTAATGCACGTCGCGCGACACCCCGCGAAGAGGCTTGAAAAGGCCGTGCGAGAGCCGCGAGAGCAGCTTCAGCAGACAATAAGGAGTTCAAAGGGTTTTCGCCACAGCTCATGTAGAGCCCTAAGCCTTATCCCCGAACCCGCCCCCCTAAGATTCAATACCCCCTGCTACTAATACAACTGGGGGGGGGGGGGGGTATTTCATACTAGGGGATATGGGGGAGGTATAAGGGGGAGGGGATCAGAGCTCTAAACTTCTTCCTTCTCAGAAGGAGCCGCTTCGCCGGGTCTTCGTCCGCTGTCTGCTAGATGTGCACCTCGCCTGCACGTGAAGATTGAGAGGGTTAAAACCCAATTGGGGAGGATTGTAGGTAGGCCCTAAACCCTAACCCTAAACCCTAAACCCTAAACCCTATACCCTAAACCCTTCTTGGGATCATATTCAGGAATCTTTTTCAGAGGGTGATTATACTGTACAAGACATCTATAAACGGAGACAGCCGCTTCTTTCGGGCAAGCACACCGCTGGGGTTTTGCTGCCAGCAACCAGTCAGACTCCGGCTACTCATGCCTGCTGGTCCGGAAAGTGCCAACACCCTAAAACCCCTAAACCCTAAACCCTAACCCCTCGACCCTAAACCCTAAACCCTAAGGTAACATCCGATTGCATGAACCCTTTTCCCGAAGCATCTCCGCATGTGGGCACATTCCATGTCGGAGTTTGTCTTCGAATCGACCCCGTGTGCTATCGGTTAGCGACAACTTGCTCAAGAACCCCCCAAAAATGAAAAACCATTTTCCTTATAAGGGCAATATGGGGGCTTGTTTATTTTATTATGTGTTTTTCAAGTTTTTGGGGGTTCTTAAGCAAATAGAAGTTGAGGCTCAGCGTTTAGAAAGTGCTCTGTTCTACTTGCTGGCTCCCGACTGTGCAAGACACCCCCCCCCCCCCCCAGGCCGAACTGGCTTTCTGGGACAAACCCTGAACCCTGAACCCTGGTCCCCTAAACCCTAAACCCTAAACCCCAAACCCCAAACCCTATACCCTAAACCCTAAACCCCTAAACCCTAAACCCTAAACCCTCACTCAGCCTTAGAAACCTTGGGTCCGAAATCCAAACCCAGGGCAGCCCTACACCCTGATCCCCACTTAGGGACTTAGGGGCTGGGTAGGTAACCTTTAACATGTTCGGTTATACAATCCTATTACAAATAAAAGGCTTCCTTTTTTCGGCAGGGTACTCAGCCCCTAAGCCTAACTGGGAGTTTACGAAAATATGGGACCAATGTTGATCCTAAACCCTGAACCCTAAACCCTAAACCCTAAACCCTAAACCCTAAACCCTAAACCCTTAACCCTTAACCCTAAACCCCTAAACTTAGCCTGCGACCTGCCAGATCTGTTTTCATCATGCTGATGCTCCCCGTGATCTTCTTGGCCATCACTGGGATCTTCGCGCTGGTCCTGGGCCCTGCGGAGGGCTGGAGCGTCCACGATGCCTTCGGGTTCATGTGGCCCGGCGTCGTTTAGGGTTTAGGGTTTGGGGTTTAGGGTTTAGGGTTTCAGGTTTCGGGTTTAGGGCAATTGCTTGCATGGCCTAGTCTATGGTATGTTGAGAGACTTGGCCTCAGGATAGGTGGTTTATTCCAGTAGCAGCGGGCTTCTTATTCTCAGGGCCAACATCAGCCTCCCCCCCACCCCCCACCCCGCCCGAACCCTAAACCCTAAACCCTAAACCCTAAACCCTAAACCCTAAACCCTAAACCCCAAACCCCAAACCCCAAACCCCAAACCCCAAGCCCTAACCCCTAAACCCTAAACCCCCGGAGACCCTGGAGCGCGTTTTTGAGGTGCGCTGGTGTGACTGGGGGCGCCATCCAGATCCAGGGCCACGCGCTCTTGCCGAAGTCACACATCAACAGGACGCTCTTTCGTCCTAAGCCCTAAACCCTAAACCCCAAACCCTAAACCCTAAACCCTAAACCCTAAACCCTAAACCCTGAACCCTGAACCCTGAACCCTAAACTCCAAACCCATCAACTCCTTGAGGTGCGAGGATGCCCCCCTTCTTTGGGGGGTTTAGGTTCCCTGAGAAACCCCTTCAAGCAGACAAGGGCCTTTAGGGTTTAGGGTTTAGGGTTTAGGGTTTAGGGTTTCGGGTTTAGGGTTTAGGGTTTAGGGTTTAGGGTTTAGGCACAAACAGCCAAAGCCCTAGATGCCCTAGATGCCCTGGATTGCTGGGTTTCGGGAGTTCTTCTGATCCGTTGGAAGGTTTTGAGGTGCCCCGAGTCCTTTTTATCCTTCCACGCTCAGATCGGGCAATCTGCAGGGCAGTCGCACTTGTAGGGAGCGCAAACCCCGAAACCATAAGTGCTTGTGGGCTTAGAGTCGGGCTTGGGCCTTTTGGAGGAGTACGGCGCTGGGTGTACGACAGAATAGTGGCAGCTTCAGGTGCCGCGTTACTTCAAATCACCATCAGACCCTGAGGCCCGAAACCCAACACCCCAAACGCTTAGCACATGCCAGCATGTGGAGGACCCGGGGCTGGTTTGATGCAGGTAGAACATTGCCCGTACCGTTCTGCAACCCCCGAAGCCCCCTCGATGAGCCCCTAAACCCTAAACCCTAAACCCTAAACCCTAAACCCTAAACCCTAAACCCCAAACCCTAAACCCGAAACCCGAAACCCGAAACCCGAAAGAAGAGGATGGTTGCAGCCCTGCTGGGCTGCTTCGGGGTGGGGCTCTTCGGCGCCTTGGGCTGAGGAGGTTTAGGGTTTAGGGTTTAGGGTTTAGGGTTTAGGGTTTACGATGGGTTTACAACTTCGGCTTTTCAGGAGGTTTTGTTGGCTTCTACGGGGTTTATTTATGGGCTTGGGGCTGTTTAGGGTTGTCAAGGTTCGGATGTGTTGGCTTTTTGCAGCGACAGTCGGCGGCGTGGCGGATGTCCGTTGATCGCAAGGAGAGTATCAACTTTTACGCTGCCATTTGCGGTTGAAAACGGGCTTGAGATTTAGGATTTCGGGGCTTGGTGTTTAGGGCTTATGCTTTAGGGATCAGGGTATAGTTGGAGTGCGCGGTCTCTCCCTCTCCGTTATAGGTTTTGGGGTTTGGAGCCGATTTCTGTCGCAGGGCTCGACCCTTGTACCGTGTCGGTTGGTGCTTCAGCATGGGGGGTCCGTGGTTTAGGACATTTTTTGTGAGTTGGAAATTAATGCCGCAAAGCCGCGAACATCAACCTGCCCTGAAATGGTCGGTCTCAAGGCATCAGGCGTTGAGCTTCGAATCCTCCGACTGTTCCTTGACCGTGAACTCTAGTGAGCTTCCGGTGGAGGTTTGGCAATCGCCGTGCTCAGCGCGCTCGTGCCCAACAGGCTGGAAGATTGCTGTCAGGAGCCAAGTCCTCAAGACCTGCAAACTTTGGAATAGGGTTTCGGGGTTTCGGGGCTTAGGGGTTTAGGGGTTTAGGGGCTTAGGGGTTTAGGGGTTTAGGGGTTTAGGGGTTTGTCGTATTCCGCACAGGCGAAAAAGAATCCCGCAAAACAAAAGGAGGAGCTGGACGCTTGCGGAGCTTTGCAGAGCTCCTTGCAGGTTCTACTGTGTGTCATCTGATCTGCATATATAGTTTGTTTCACACCCTCCACCATGTGCTGTACAATACCTGCTATTTGCTTAAGAATCCCCCCCCCCCCAAAAAAAAAAAAAAACAACAACTAGTCATCCCGCTGTTGCCCTTATCAGGAAGCATGCTCGTATTTTTAAGGGAGTTCTGAAGCAAATAGGGACCGGCTCACTGGTTTGCAGATCTCGATCCTCTTGCGGGGCCTTGGATTCCGGGGTTTAGGGTTTAGGGTTTAGGGTTTAGGGTTTAGGGTTTAGGGTGTATGTTCTAGGACTCTAGGAGTTGAGGGTTTCTGGTGGGTGACCCAGTATGTTCAAGGAGTTTTTGAGCGTTGCGAGACAAAGAACTGCTCGAGGTAAACCCTAAACCGTAAACTCCAAACCCTAAACCCTAAACCCTAAACCCTAAACCCTGAACCCTGAACCCTGAACCCTGAACCCTGAACCCTGCCACCGCTGCTTGAAGGCTGCTTGCCGCCACCGGCCTCCTCCCAAAGGCCAGGCAAGCAACACTAAGGGTTTAGTTTGAAGCTTAGGTGTTAGGATTTATGTTTAGGGTACCAACGAGTCTGCAGCCGAATGCCCTAAAGCTTATCAAAAAACCTTCAAGAAAGCAAAGCGCGGTGTTGAACGGCTTGACTTCAAGTAAAAACTGAAGCATTCAACATCTGAGGGACGGGGGTAGGTCACCTTTATAACCTTTCGGGGTTATGGAGAATCCTACTATAAATTCAAAGGTTCACCTTTTTTAAGGCTAGGGTCTTCAGGCCCCCAAGACATGAATCCTGGCGCAAACCCTAAACCCTAAACCCTAAACCCTAAACCCTAAACCCTCAAGCCCCCTGTAGCTTGAAACTGTTCAAAAGCTTAAAAACCGAACCTCCCCGAAGCTTTCCCCGGACCTGAGCCCTGAATAATTTCAAAAAAAACCCAAACCCAGAAAGGTGATCACGCGCCCTAAACCCTAAACCCTAAACCCTAAACCCTAAACCCTAAACCCTAAACCCTAAACCCCAAACCCAGAAACCCAGAAACCCAGAAAGGTGATCACGCGCCGGTCGCCGCTGCGACTGGCAGCGCTGGCCACTCATGCCAAGACTTTTTTTTTTTGGGGGGGGGGGGGGGGGGTTGCCAGCTGGGGGTTTACGAAAAGAAGGGGCCCCTAATATATATATATATATATATATCTATCTATATATATATAGATATAAATAAATAAATATATATATATATATATATATACACCCTAAACCCTAAACACTGAACCCCAGACCCTAAACCCCCGAATGGTAGGACTCCGTCATAATAAGAACCCCAATAAGGCACCCCTCATTTCTGAAATCCCCAGCTTTTCTGTCTGCTGACACAGGTGTGATCTTGTTGCACCTGAGTCTTGTAAAGGGGGTAGCACAAGGTATTCCAATTGCTTGGTTTCGAACTTATTTGAGCGTTGTGCTTGGGGGCTGTGTGGTCCGAAAGTCAGATGTCCATAAGCTCCAGCAACTCCACCAATGTACACCCCTGTACACCTCTTAACCCAAAGCCCCTCAACCTTTCTACTTGGCTGCAAGACTAATATAGGGGCCTGAGAAATTAGAAGAGGGTTTCGGGGGTTATTCGAGTATCATGACAAAGGGACCATAAGGGAATACTTTTTGTAACGATTCCGTATGCTAACCCCGAGCTTCCATAGGCCTGAACCTCAAGCCCCGAAGCCCCAAAGCGCAAAGAGTCTCAGGCCCCTGTCCCCACCTTTGGCTCTAGGATGTAGGCTTCAGTGCGCCAATACGAACTCCCAAATCGGGACCTTGGACAAGGCTACTTAGAGCATGTTGACCTCTTTTTAGATGTGTTGCTCCTAAACCCTAAACACTAAACCCTAAACCCTAAACCCTAAACGTTAAACCCTAAGCTGTTGTTAGCGTTCGGGGTTTGAAGTTCCAAGACGAGGTGGTGGTCGTCGTTCTGCTTCAGCTCCTGGTTGCCTGCCTCTTCGGTGCAGTGCTGGCCTTGGTAGAGGCGGGGCGTTTCGTTCGTTCGTTCGTGCGAGCGAGCGAGGGGTGTGTGTGTGTGTGTGTGCATGTCAAGGTACGACCGAACTGAGGCACCCCAAAGCTCCTAACATCCGGCCCCTGAAGTCGATCTTCTGCTAGAACCCTTCAAGCCCTCGCCGAAATCTACCGGAGTGAGCCAAAGGCCCCTCTCACTCCCTCACGAACTCCGCAAGGTCAGGGATTCGGTTCACCCGTAGGCCCTAAACCCTAAACCTGAAACCCTAAACCCTAAACCCCAAACCCCAAACCCTAAACCCTAAACCCTGCATCCTGTGCTGCAGGGCTGGGACTTCGCATCTGCGTGGCAGCTGGGACATTCGCGACCCCCACTAGGGATAGGATCGCCTTCTGAAGGGTTCCAGGAACCCTAACCCTAAACCCTACGCCCTAAACCCTAAACCCTAAACCCTAAACCCTAAACCCTAAACCCTAAACCCTAAACCCCAAGTTCCAAAAAGGCACAAAAGGGGGCCCCGAGTTGGCGCCTGTTTGAACTGAAGGTCCGGGGGTTCGCGGGGGTTTGGTGGGGCCAGGAGAGGCTCAGCTAAGGGGAGATGATTCGTCTGCTTCTGGCTTAGTTTTCCTAAACCCTACACCCTAACCTAACCCTAAACCCTAAGCCCTAAACCCTAAACCCTAAACCCTAAACCCTAAATCCTAAATCCTAAAGCTGGGCACATGAAAGCTGAGCATTCCCGAAGCCCCACGACATGCCGCCCTCCATCCTGCGACTCTATACCCAACATCGCAGTAACATCGCCCTATACAGCCCAAAATTCGAAACTCCAAGGTTTGGGGTTTAGGGTTTAGGGTAGAATGCCTTCTGGGTTTAGGGTAGAATGCCCCAAAAGCCCTTAGAGCGCTCAGGAAAGCAGCCATTTCCGCGCAGCTTGGTGGGGGCTTGCCTTTGGCGATTCCCATTCCATCCCAGACATTCAGTGAGCTGGTCGGGGGCCCTAGACTCTCGTGTTTTCAGAGAGTGCCCCAAAAGCCTTGCCCAATCTCTTTGTTCTTGTTGGCCGCCTTAGAACCTCACCAGCATGGAAGCATAGCACACACCAAGAGACAGCACGTCTACATAGCCTGTGTCGGGCTCATGGGTTTAGGGTTGAGGGATTAGGGTTTAAAGTTTAGGGTTTAGGATTTATTGGTCAACAATGTAGGGCAGAGACAACTTAAGCTTTAAGGTCATCTCCGGCCTCCATATGCAGATCCTGCTAGGAGGTTCATGGTACTTACTAACCCAATTACAACTGTACACATAACCCGATGAAAACGGGTACTTAGGAGGCTTATATTTGGGTTATAGCTACACTAGTAATGGGTTACTAAGTACTTGGAACCTAAACCCTAAACCCTAAACCCTAAACCCTAAACCCTAAACCCTAAACCCTGAACCCTGAACCCTAAACCCTAAACCCGAAACCCGAAACCCTCAACCCTAAACCCTGAACCCTAAACCCTAGACCCTAAAAACCTCCAAGTGCGTAGGTGCTGGTGGTCACCTCGTGCTGGGCCGTGGGCTTGGTGACCCTGATCATCTCTGCAGCCAGCTCGCTTTGTACCATGCGCCCCGGACTCCAATGGCCGAGCCCTAAACCCTAAACCCTAAACCCTAAACCCTAAACCCTAAGCCCTACGCCCTACGCCCTAAACCCTAAACCCTAAACCCTAAACCCTAAACCCTAAACCCTAAACCCCAGACCCCAAACCCCAAACCCCAAACCCTAAACCCTAAACCCTAAACCTTATACCCTAACCCTACCCCCTAAACCCTAAACCCTAAACCCTAAACCCGAAACCCTAAATTTAAACCATAAACTTAACCCCAAGTCTGTAAACCCTAACCTCAGGCAGGAGTAGGCCTCTTCTGGCGTGGCATCTTTTCTTCTCTCGAGTCATACAGGTTGGGAAGTTGGGTTCTCAGCCCCCTTGCTTCAGCCTCTCTGGTGGCTTCTGAGGTCAGCAGCCCTCTAGGGTTTAGGGTTTAGGTTCAGGGTTGGGGGTTTAGGGTTTGGGGTTTAGGGGTTAGGGTTCAGGGTTTAGGGTTTACCTGGTCCTTCGTATGGCCTCCTTTTTGTGACCCCAAAAGCAAAAACTGGTAAGACCAAAAAAAACAACCACATGACCCCAGAAGAAGCGGAAAACCAAAAAATGGAACTCTGAAGCAAGCCCCAAACCCAGACACCCTAAACCCTATAACCCTTAACCCTAACACCCTGCTGGCCGGACATCCTTTGGAGCTGGGATGTGGAAGTGCAGGTTTTGGGGTCTATAGGGTTTATAGGGTTTAGGGTTGCTAGGGTTGCGAAGGTTTTTTAAGCTTCTGCTTTGGAGCGCCGGCTATTCCAGCAGTGGTCGCCATGCATAGTGGTGGCAGGAGCATGGATGAAGCTCATTCTGTCGAGATAGCACATTGCGTGCAGCAAAAAAAACATCATGCAATCAATCTGTACATTTCAACATGGATGCCTGATCATGGCCCGTTTTTGCTGGATTTGCCTGGCTTTTGCAAGCTGTGTTGATTGCACTCCCTTGTAGGGTTTTACGTGCCACTTTGGGTTATAGAGGTTTATCTGGATTTAGTGTGAGGAAAACTTCCTCAAGGTATTGGGTTTGTATGAGACCTTTCATGTCTTGTGACCCCCTCCCCAAGAAAAGAACCTATGTAAGCCCCAAAAACGAAGACTATATGCAGGACCCACAATGGTTGCAGAGTTTCGAGGGTTGAAAGGTTTATAGGGATATATGGGGAGTTTTGTTTCGGGAAGACAGAAAGTGAGTGGTCATACTCAACCGTCTTGGTGTTTGTTGGTTGTTCTGCTCTTCTTCTGGTTTAGGGTATCAGGGTATTAGGGTATTATAAGGACTTAAGGGCTTGTGCTACGCCAGCATGCTCTCTTCACAACCTATCCCTAAATACCCCGCCTACTACCCCCAGAAGCCCTATAGGTTTTCGGGGTATATAGAAGGTAGGGTGGTAGGGTTCCAGGGTTCTAGGGTTTATATAGGGTCTCTCTCTAATATATAGGCTATACAAAAAAAAAAAATATATATATATATATATATGGTACCCCCCCCCAAAAACCTACCGTTTCATACCCTTTTCTATGTCGAGACGTGTTTACTATATTCGAAGCCGGATATATATGGACATATATCTATAGATATACATAAAATACGAAATAGCAAATACTTAAAGACGCCGAAAAAAATCTGCAGGGCTAGGAGTTTTAAAACTCCTCTTGTGGCTAAGCAAGGGGTTTTAAAACTCCTGGCCCCGAAGATTGAAGATTGAAGATTCCCCAGAACTCTTTCCAGGAATCTTCAATCTTCAATCTTAGGGGCCGGGAGTTTTAAAACTCCTCTTGTGGCTAAGCAAGGAGTTTTAAAACTCCTGGCCCCGAAGATTGAAGATTGAAGATTCCCCAGAACTCTTTCCAGGAATCTTCAATCTTCAATCTTAGGGGCCGGGAGTTTTAAAACTCCTCTTGTGGCTAAGCAAGGAGTTTTAAAACTCCTGGCCCCGAAGATTGAAGATTGAAGATTCCCCAGAACTCTTTCCAGGAATCTTCAATCTTCCATCTTAGGGGCCGGGAGTTTTAAAACTCCTCTTGTGGCTAAGTAAGGAGTTTTAAAACTCCTGGCCCCGAAGATTGTAGACTGAAGATTCCTGGAAAGAGTTCCGGGGAATCTTCAATCTTCAATCTTCAGTGGCAGGAGTTTTAAAACTCCTCTCGTGGCTAAGTAAGGAGTTTTAAAACTCCTGGCCCCGAAGATTGAAGACTGAAGATTCCTGGAAAGAGTTCCGGGGAATCTTCAATCTTCAATCTTCAGTGGCAGGAGTTTTAAAACTCCTCTCGTGGCTAAGCAAGGAGTTTTAAAACTCTTGGCCCCGACAATCTTCAATCTTCGGTGGCAGGAGTTTTAAAACTCCTCTCGTGGCTAAGCAAGGAGTTTTAAAACTCCTGGTCCTGAAGATTTTTTCTTATGGTTAAAAATATATTGCGCAACTCTAGGCCATGGTATTGTATATTACGCCACTGAAAGTGGTTCCAGTATGTGTGCGTTGAATCGACTCAATTTCGACGCGCAGCTTGGGCTATAAACGCGCAGTTTCCAGCCGTAGCATACGCGTACTCCTCATGGCGGCCGTCAACATCACGGGCACCTTCGCATTGGACTCCTCCGGCAACGCAGTGATTCACATCACTAAGAATGAAGAGGCTTCAGACACGAAGAAGCCTCCGTCCGCCAAGGAGTTTTTCCAGGCTGTCGAGTCGGGCCTCGTCCAGCTTCATGCGAGCCGAGCCGACATGAAGAAGAAGGACTATTACATCTTGCTCCATAACATTCAGCGGCAGCTCCACATGACCAAGACCGGGATTGATGGACAGTGGAGCGAAGAAGCATGGAACATGCTCTTGAAGACTGTAGCCAAAGCAAAGAAGGGAACCGCAAAAGACAGCGGCGTCCTGATGATCGAGGACATGCAGTCTCCCGACAAGAAGAAGAACAAGATCAAGACATCAAGCCGTGGCGAATGTTTGGCACTTGAGGACGCCAACTTAGAGGTGATGAAGTCAGACACCGTCGTGGGCAAGAATCGTGGCGAAGACATGGCAGTGGATGCCACGAACTCGGACGCAAGTGACTCGCATGTGAACGTACCAAACGATGATGCACGCCAAGCTGCAGGAAGCAGCACCGACCCCATCAACACCAAGAAGGCATCCAGCAGCGAGAGCAGTAGCGAGGACAGCGACAACGATGGGTCGAGTAGCTTCGCCTCAGCAAGCACACCAGAACCGGTAGACATGTCGTCATGGACGTCAGACTGGCACGACCTCTACGTGACCGCGGCGGATATGAGGCGCAGTCATGTGAACCAGAACAAGAAGAGGGTGTGGAATGGAGTCCTTCTCACGATCCAGAAAGCCAGAGCCAAGGCCGAGAAGAAGTAAAGAATACCTCATACGTGATCTTGTCTTCCACTATATGCGCATTGGCTGTCATTCAGAACAAGAACTCATGACCGTGCGAGTACAGAAAAAGAATGCGACACTGCTGTTGATTAATGCTTATATGTTACCTTTCAAAGCAAAATGCGTATTATCTTAAAAAGCAAAATTTACTGTGCAGGCAACTGGACTCTTAAGGATATAGTTTACATCAAGTGCTCGAGACTCGTCAGCTGCTATAGTTCCTTAGCTACGAGATTATCCTCGAATCGTCCTTGTGCAAACATGAGTGGGACACTAATGGACGAGGCCCTCGCAGAAGTCGGGGACAAGTCGTGGTATCTGCGGCAGCTAGAACAAGCGCAAGTTTTCCGTGCAAATGACGATTGCTCACTGAGTATTCAGAGACTCATGAGTCAGGCGTGTCGTCCTCTGCACGAGGTGAAGTCCACTGTGGCTGTTTTGCTAGATGCCCAATTTGCTGTTCCAGAATGCGGGAAAGCCAGCTCCTTGTGCAAGCTAGCGTCCGAGGGCAAGTTGGACGAGTTTCCGTATGAGATTCGTTTCTTGGGTCCCTTACCATCCGGCGCCAAAGTGGACATCATCGTGAATACTCTCGGTGACGGCTTCATCGATGTCCTCAAGGTTGTCTACTTTGAAAAGCCCGTCCCTCGTAACATCGTCATGAAGGTTTGTGCTGGCGATGCCTACGTTCCCGTCTTCCGGCCTGGCCCCTGGGCAATTAAAAAAGGATTGCAGAAGCTGCTGAATCAACTGACAGGACACCACTGTCGGTGGCAACTTCTCCAGCAGAAAACAGCTGAGACTCTGGAGCGGTCTGACTCCAAGTCTTCCTGGAATCCTGAGAACGACATCCTGTCGGAGGGGATCAAATTCATCAACTCGCAGGCTCCTGACTGCGATTCCAGGAACGAACAGACGTACTGGATCATGGCTTCTATCAAGCCCGAGTCCGGGACCCCCATTGCAGGGTGGCCCGAGACGAAGGTGCGTCTCATGGCTCAGAACAAGAGCCGTGGGATCAGAGGGGCAGTTCCCATGAACGAATTTCCACTGCACAGTCTTTCCTTGAAAGAACCCCTGTGGGAGCGCATCCTTCCGTGGGTGTACCCTCTACTCATGACGTCCGCCATGATGATTTTCGGTTGCGCAGGGGCAGGCAAGACCCCCACCATGATCGTTCTGGCGATGGCTATGGGCCGCTACCATGTGCGGCGACTTAACTTGGTGGGAGTCCAGCCAGGATGGCGAAGAGCTAAATCCTTGGATAATTTCAGGCAGCGGATGCCGCAAATCCAGGAGGGCCTCTTCCTGGATGACCCGACCAGGCGCAAGCTCGATATATCCGACCTCAAGAGCTTCGTGACAGCGGACGAGGATCAGACCACAGAGGGCAGGTATGATGACGCCAAGCAGCTCCGAAATCAATTTCGAGGCATTGCGTCAAACGAAATCGGGGATGACCCCGCGCCAAGTGAATACACGGAGACTACGCTAACCCATGACGCTTTCATGAAGGTCATCAAGCCATTCTTCGAGGGCGACCTGGAAAAGGACGTAATGGCGGTCTTGAAACGGTCGGTTATCTTCGTGCTGTGTGAGACTGCACTGTATCTTCGCCTCCCAAGTGAGAAAAAGAGTGGAATGATCCATCGCATCTGCATCCAGGACATTCACTCAGACATGCTCGCTGATGACGACAAACCACTCTACGGGCAATACAAGACGGGGGTGACCATCCTCGGCGAGAACTTTCGTCGTGGTGTAGAACGAGAGCAGGCACTGATCGATGCCAGCATGGAGAAGTTGGCCACATTCAGGAAGAAAGAAGACTTTGTTGCCCACGCTGATCATGAGCTACAACAGTGGCTGATGCCACGAAGGGTTCTGCCGTCATCGTCTTCCTCAAGCGAGGCCGATGTCCCGCCAACCGTGCCCTTCTCAGTTCAGCTTGCCAGCCCCACGCAGCCCAGGCGAAGATTGTTGAGCTCTTCTGCCTTTGTGTATCCTACTCCAGGCCGGCGAGTGCGACAAAAACAGTCACAGCCGCAGCCCGCAGAGGAGATTGAGCAAGTGCACAACCCAGTGCATGAGACTGAACAGCCATCGCAGGAGATTCAGCAAGTGCCTAGTCCCGTGGATACGACGGAACAGTCACAGCCCGTCCAGGAGACTGAGGAGGTGCGCAGCCCCGAGGATAAGATGGACGTCATGGATCCGGACGAAGAGGCTGCTGCCTATATGCATGGGTGAGCAAGACCGTGGATGAGATGGACGTCGTGGATCCTGGCGAAGATGTTGCTGCCTACATGCACGGGTGAGCAAGGATCCGGGGCCGCGATAGACAGTTTTGACGGATCCATATGCAGTTAGATGAAACGCCTTCCCGCAAGTGGTGGCACGCCTCGCTCAGAGATGGTAAACCGGTCC